CCTTCGCCCGGGGGGGCCTAAAAAGCTGCAGCTGCTCGGCCAGCAGGCGCAGCGCGCGGGCTCTCTGCAGAACACGCTGACGGGTGGCGGGCTGCAGGAAGCGAAACGCCGCCGTCGCTATGAACACGCTGTTAAGGGGTCCTAAGTATTACAAATCAACTGTCCGGAACCATCGGCCTAGGTTTCCAAAACAATCGCCTCAGCGCTTCTTAGACAGATTTCATCCAAACAATCTACACCTTACCCTCTTACGGATGGAAGGTCTGCATTAAAACCAGCACCCACGATCCTCACTCCTGCCTGTTTCATGGCTATAAAAGTAATGAAAAATATTATAAAAGCTACTGGTGATTGTTATTTTTGATTTTAATAGCCTAAGCCTTTGCAGGAACTCTCTTAGCACACACACCTTCACTACGGGGAAAGACTCCCAGTGTGAATCCCAAAGCATGAGTGGCTTCAACGCACTCTTAACGCCACTCTACCTGTGCGCACGGGCGCGTGCGGGCGGTCTGCTCAGCGCGCTCCTGCCTGCCACCTGCCAGGCGGGGAGGGCTCATGTGCGACCCTGTCAGCAGCAAAGCGTTCTCCTCCTGATCCCTGCTCCTGAATCACTGGTGTCAAACGTCGCTGCTTTTATTACCTGAAAAGGCCTTGTAATACTATGAAGCCCTGGTTTTTGATTTAATTTTCAAAGTGGGAGCTAAGAAATTCAGCTGCCAATTGCTCTTTTCTATGATCGCTATCTCAAACACGCCAGGACCAGACAGGCAGGCTTTGTGTCACTGTCAGAGAGGAGCCGCCTCGCTTTTTGGTAGGATAACGAACCCCTTTTCTTCCCAAGCAGGAGGTACCGTGGGACAGAGGCCGATAAAACTGTATAAAACCAAAGTCAGGTGAGGACCAGCACTTAACCAAATACTCGACAAACTAGCTGGGGCTGTGCCGGAGAGCCGGGCAGGTAACAGGAGCCTGAGTCTGCTTCCTGACACCCGTCCTACGGGCCCTGCGAGGTCCGAAGGGAGAAAAGCGTGTCCAAGGGCAACAGGAATCAAAGCAAGGATGGTGGGACGCCTTTACCAATCATCAGTTTAGTCTGGACTTTTTCTAAATGCTGATTTAAATAGCAAGCTAACAATCTGCACTTCCATACAACTCTGTAAAATATTTAAGATGGCTTTTCATTATAGTAAAGGAAGAAAACTCTTGTTCCGTATTAATTCTCATACCAGTCTCTCAGATTCCTCCTTCTCTAGCAGTTGCTACCTTCACACTTGTGTCTGCATCAGAGGTACAACCACGATTCAACACCAGACCTTTGGAATGCTTATTTTACCTAACTGAAGCTAGGAAAATTAACCTAGTTAAATTCCAAGCACAGAAGAAAAAACAAAAACCCCAGAGAGGAAATTACCCAGTCATTCATCACAGAGATGCAGAACACTTCTCAACAGCAGAAAAAGCACAGGCTACATAATCCAACATGCTCTCACTGCCGAGGGATGCAGCCAGAAAAGGTGAATGGTGCAAACCCCATCCAGCACACATCATCTAGAAACCACGTCAGGAAAAGATTCCCCTTAGCAGCCCCCAGTGTGACCTCTTATTTTTTTAAAAAAAAAGCAAATACCATTTAAACACCAGACACCTGTCTTAAATCTTTATCTCTAACACACTCAAAGGGGTAACAGCAGATCATATGAAAAACCTTCACTAACTTCATTAATTTTGTTTTTTTAGGTGTCAAATTCTCCAAATTTTTGTGCAGACTAAAGCAAAACAGCTGCACAGTTCACCTTATAAAAATAGCAAATTCAGTGTTTTCTTTCTGCACTCATCTTTTGTCTTCCAGTCCCCACGTGGATACCAAACTAATTCATTTTCTTCTTCTTTTGACCCTTTCAAAGCTAGTCTTCACCAAAAAAAGCATCCTACACCGGACAGCACCCTGAAGATAAGAACGCACTTCTGGACAGCCAATATTTGACACAGATTATCATCATCTCCGTGGCCTTCCAGCTGCAGTGATGGGCACGAAACCAGACTGCAAGACGATTTCCACTCACACGCCAACGGCTTGTGCTTGCCACCGCGTCGCTCAGCTGCATGCACGAACCAATTCGATTACCTTTTTTCCAAAGGTAAATATTAATACCATATTAATATGCAACAATTCACCACTGCAAACACACATGCGCTACCCTCCACGTGCGTGACGCGTACGTGACATAACAGAACCTATAGATATTTCTTCTCCTTTTTTTAAGAGAGATCAAAGGCTCTTCTCCTCGATTGCAGCTGAGGGTTAGGAGTGGTCGCTGTGCTCGCTGTCCCTGCCTGGCGGGGCAGAGCGGCCTCCTTACCTGCTGCTGGCCCTGCTGCGTTTGCTGAGTGGTCTGCTGATTTGCCGAATTCGTCGCTGCGGCAGCGGCGGCAGCTTGCTGCTGGAAGAGGCTGGCGGGATAAACTCCCCAGGGCGTAACTCCATAGTACTGGTGAGGAACCACCGCCGGACCTGGAACGCGAAGGGAATCGGTGAGCTTCTGCAGCGTGACGAGAGTTACACAGCAAACCACCGCCAGAAGTACCTGCTCGTCATGTTTGGTTTAACAAATCCTATTTCAAGGCGATCTGCTTTAAATCCTCTGCAAATATGGAGGGATTCTGGCATTTATATTATTCATTTTTAAAAAGCTTAGAAGTCAGACCTGAAATTTCATCTTTACTTCCTTTACCATATTGGATGAGGTCAAATTCTGCTACCAGTGATCCTGTTGAAATCCTGTGATTTTATTGTTGTGCCCTACTTTTATAGTGAAGGAACAAAACTTTATGTCTAACCGAAAGAGAAGGAAACTTGTTTACGCACCGAGGTTTACAAGCCTCTTCTACTCTCAGCTGCCATTCACAGATCAGCATCTATCATTTAGCTCCCCAGCAAACTAAAAAGAACTCTTCGCAGCTGGACAGCATCAGTTCTCAGCTGTTTAAAGTGTTATTTTTCTTTCCACTCAGCCCTCTATTGCATTTGCAAACCACCATAAGAGCAGCTGTATGATCCTGTATCTTTTCATGTTCCCTCCTTCTCAAACTTAAGAGGCTTAAAAAAAAAAAGTAATCTTGGAGACCCCCAGCAAAAGGGTAACTTTCGAAGATTCATTGTCTTCTATCATGTCTCAGGACACCGCACACTTAATTTGGCGATAGCAGAATGGCTGCCTATATCCTTAAATAATTCTAGCTGGCATAATGCTGAGGAAGCAGCCAGCATGCTGACCGGTGGAGTACCTCCCACCAAACACCACGCATGTGAATCCAAGAATATTTTTTAATATGCCTGTTCTATATCTTTTGGAAAGGTCAGCAGAAAGTAGGAGTTTTTCCTTTGCTTTTCAAATACATCACCCGTCCCATGGGTTCCTTCCCCAGGGCAGGAGTAACCCTGGGCATGCCAGCCTTTCTAATGTAGAGTGCCACAGTTGTATTTGACACTGCAGAATAAACAAGTCTTCAGTAAATCTGAACCGCAGACTTGTTCTTATATGGAGTAAAAACCGGTTCTATTTTAAGCAAGACAGTCAGCTTTTGAGTGCTAACCAAGCCATTTCAGTACTGTCGAAATGTCTTACAGTAAGACACGGCAAGGAGAACAAATGTAACACACAAAACCCATGAGCATTTGCCCCAAGGGACTTCAGAACCATTCCCCCCAAAATGAGGGAGGCCAGTAAAGAGGGAGATGCAAACGGACACTGCCAAGTGTAAGCTTGGGTATGACACAGGGGGAAGAATCCAGGAGGTGCTTTGCTTTGGTTTTTATACAGTCACGTGTCTTTGTCTCAAATGAACCACTGCATAAGGCAAAAGCATCGCACCGTGCAACAGTCTGGGTCCAGGCCTGGGGGAAGGACTGCTCCCGCAATCACTGCCGCGGACTGGTGGGATTCAGCAACGCTCTGAGATACTCATTTCATATTTAATGTTAAATATTAAATTCCTATTTCAAAAGTCTGATAGTTCCTCTCCTTTATTATTTTGGTTTTAAGCACTGCACTTTCCCCAAATGTAGGATTTGGGGAAATCCTCCCTCCAGCTCTCCGTGCAGGAGGGAGACGCTGGAAGCAGCCTGTGATGCTGTGATTCTGCTGCTGCCTAACCCCAGGCACCTCAGCAACACGTGCTGAGCAGCCAGAGCTGCATCTCACACTAAAGCTGTGCCACAAAATCCACCCTTGCTGCATTTACTGTGTACCGTCAGCCAGCGAAGGTGACTTGTCTGTCTTCGACTGGTCCTGGAGCAGCAACCACTTGCTTCTTACTTTCCAACCTGGAAATTCATGAGCAGTTGTAGCTAAAAATAAAAAACCTGCAGAAAATGCATCAGTCCCATGATGATACTGCCTATCTCGACCTAAGTAGTTACAGACACTTAGCTGGTTGGTGGATTGTAACCTATTTATATTCAGTCAGTGAGGATCAGCTTGGCAACTGCAAGGTTGCTTCTGCACTCCACAGGAAAATTGTTGCAACTGCTCCACTTCGTGCAAGTAATTAGCCTGCATTTGCCCTCAGGCTGCTGGAAGTTACTGCAATACCCTTTATCAGGGCAAAATGCAGACATATCTCTGGGTTAATTTAATCTCAGCTCTAATTATCAAGGAAGTGTAGTCTAGATCGGGGTTTTTTCCTAGCTAGAGGTTGCTCATCAGATCTGTAAAAGCCTTACGTGTTTAAAAGAAGAAGAGACACAAAGCCTTTGAAGTCTGCGGGCAGCTGGGCTTAAAAGGGCTGCAAGTCTGGCTCAGCTCATTTGAGGCTCATTACCGAACAGTGTTCTCAGTGAGGGCAAGCGTGTCATCATTGCCAGACTTACACAAACACGCAGAGTGTTTCTGTACTTCAGGAGATACACACACGAGAAAATAAAAGCCATTCCAGTTCCTTTGAAATCAAATATTCCAACTACTATGTCTCACACATTGGCCACAGACACCCACAAATAATCCTTTCAAGAAACATTAGCAAAACCAGCTGTAAGTGTGTTCACAACAGAATGTTTGCTTTAAATCTCAGCCTTCACACTCCAATCGCTGTAAGCAGAAGCCCCACCTGCTCTCTCCAGGAACAGCCTCTTGCCAAGGACGAGGACTTAGTGACCACCAGATTAAACAGCCTCGAGCACCTCACGTCTGGAAAAGCAGGGCTGCGGAGAGCAGCTTTGTCAAATACCACCAACTCGTGAGCCGCTCACTTCACCGTCACCGGCACAGCAGCCACACGCACCCATGAAGCGGTGTCTGTTCGGGGATGGGGGTGAGGAGCAGCTGAACTGGCTCGGGTGCGGCCCGGGGCAGGCCCTGCCTGGGGCCAGCAGATCCTGGAGAGCAGAAGCACTGTGGCACAACCCCGTGCCCGAGGCAGCCGGAGCAGGGCCAGCCGCTCCCCCGAACCTCAGTCCTGGGTACGTGCATGCAACCATACCCGGCCCCGGCTCGGAGCCGGCTCTGCGCGGGGGACAGCTCAGCACCAGGTTTCTGAGAAACCCAAGCTGGAGGAGCAGAGTGCGGACACGTCCAAACCGACCCCGCCTCCAGTCTAGGAACACCGCGTTTCTCCTGCACGCAGATTACTGCAGCATCCGCTTCTCCACAAAGAACAGAAACACTTCTCTACCTGTAACACGCCAGCTCAGAGGGAATCAACATTTCCCAACTTGTCTTACAAAAGGCAAGATTTCTTTTTTTTGAGTGACATCTTTCTCAAATGATGGCAGGCAATTTCACAACACTTTTTAAAGAGAGCAGTATCTTCCCCATGGTTCAAACTCACAAGTGATTTTTTTCTTGAGTCTAGGAAGCCCTTCCCTCTGCATTCAAATTTGTTCTTTAAAATGCTACTATTGTTGGGAAGAAAAGAGCATTATCACAGGGCTGACAGTCGTACAAGCATGAAAAAGCAGCGATAACGGCAGAATCTTAATTGACAGAATTATCTCTGTCATAAAACACACAAAAGTTTCCCCTCCACTTTAAGAGTAACTGTGAGCAATAAACCACCAACAATTCTGAACTAATTTCTTCCATCTCATAAACTTCTCCAAGTCCTCTCAATTTAACTCTCCCACACGCATCAGGAAGGCTTTCTGACTTCACAGGTAACTCTCATCATCGACATCGCCCCAAGCCCTGCTAGTGCCGCACTCCGTCATCACAGAGAGAAGGCTCTCAGCACTGCTCGAGTCTAGACAGAAAAGATGCTTTTCCTAAAACAAATATCAACACGGAGTGAAGACTATTATATTGCCATTTCTAGCTGTTAGGGTGCAAAGCCCAACAAGATGGATGAAGCAGTTTGGATTTCTGAGTGGTGTAGCTCTGTAAGTACGTTGCAGTACATTGCAATTTCTTTTGTTTCGCTTTCAAGAGTCATAGCTTAAAAATTGAGCAGAGATCCTGACGCCAGGGTTTGGGATGCTTTAGGTGTCCTGGGGTATGTTATTTCCTAGTTCAAATTGATAAGGTCCCAATCAGATATTCAGGCTGCTGAGAAAAAGGAAAAAAAATAAGTTGTTGCAAACACGCTTGCTGTTTCCTAGAAATCTGGCAGCAGCTACATGTGGTCTTTCTACAAAATCAAGACGCTGACCTCCTGCTCCACTGAACTTCAGCGCGTCACTTACGAATGAGCACTAGCTCTAGCAGCACGAAGGTGATGCAGACAGGCCAACCAGAATCCTCTTTTTACAGCATTCGTTTACAAAGCAGCTCTTCTGACCGTAACTGGAACTGCTCGTGTTCTAGTGCCTCTTCCCTGCTAAGCCCCGACTGAAGCTTCCCACTTCTACTTGCCACCAAGAGCTCAGGTCATTCACTCGCTGCCACACATTCATCACCACATGATAGTTTATCAGCTCCTGGATGATTAGAAATATCCCTGTACTCTAGTTCTTGGCTTTCCTCCATTTAATCACCGCACCATTTGTTTGCCAACATGTTGCTGCCTAAACTCGTCTTGCATTTTCATTACACAATCAGCAGACAAAATTCACAGCAGCCAAAGAGTCCAAAGCCCATCTTCAAATTATAATCTTGATTCTTCACATACTTCCATACGATCCACTAAAAACGCCGTCCAACTCCGTAACAGTTGCTGAAATCCCATTTCAGAGCTTGACCTGACACTAGCCTCACAGCTTCAAAGCTAAGCAGCGGTTACACGAGAGCTGTGCAACACGCCCAAGAGTCACGTACCGAGCCACAGCGCTGTCTGGCAGCGCGCTATATTCACACACAACCAACAGTTCACAGTTTTGATTTGGTATGAGCTATCCCACGGTGGAAGAGATTTGCAGCGAGTACACAAGTTGTAAGCGGAGCGTGGCAAAGGCGTGCAGGCTCCACTAAAAGTCACCACTACTCTGAAGCAAGCAGTTCGTTAAAGTGTAGAAGGCTGCCTCTCCGGGTGGCTGACGGAAAGCAAGGCATGGTTATAAAAATGTTCTTCTGAAAGTACATTCTTCCTTTGTCCTCAGTGCTTAGGCAAGAACTTTATGGCATACACAGCAAAAGTTCAACGGACACTGTGTTCTTCACACCACCTGATAAGCTGTTTGACCGAGCTGTCATCTCAAGATACAACAATTTTGGTTCTGACAGTTGGAAAGAATTTGGAAACTGATTATGAACGTTTGGGAGAAAGATCTTGCATAAAGACAAGAGCCACCATCTCTGCTTGCCATCTGGAAAACAGCACATTCCTAGTGTAAGCCTCACAGCAGATACGGGATGTTTTCACCTAGAGAACCTAAAAAGCATAAATTTGTAACAGGCTTTAGCAAAGGGGCAAGATATCATTTGCAGGATGCGCTACAGTACATCAAGCTAAGCAGCAACGAGGCACAACTCTCCTGGCAGGAGCACACGTCCTCCATCTCTCTAGCATTTCATCTGTATGTTCTCAAAAGCTATCTCTCAGTACCGTCGGCTACCAAAAAACCCCAAACATTTTAGCAACATTTATGTCCGTAAGTATTTCATTTCAGATTTGCTCTGGTTGTTTATCCTCAACAGAAAGAGAGCCCACAGCAAGTGTTACACAAGAATTACCACATTTAATCTACAGAAAACAGGGTGCCCAAGACAAATCTTGTTTCAGCTCACTGGTATACAACCATCTCTCCACAGAAGTTACAATGTACTAATGTTTAATTTCCAAAATCACAGACTCAGGAGCAGTTTTAGTACAAAAAATGGTCACGAACACACAGGCAACTGGGAGCACCTCACCTAACGTCGCAGCTGCTGCGAGTCCGGCGGCGTACGGATCAGTTCCCGGTGGAGCGGCACTGATGATGTACGGATTGGGGACAAAGGCAGCAGGAGCCAGACCTGCTGAAAACATACCTGTCAGTAAAAACAAACTTCACTAGAACTGAAGTCCTACCAAAATACTTTTGGCTACCTGGCTGGTCAACCATCGGCGTGGCACACAAAAGCTCAGGTTGCTTTAGTATTTTCAAGTTTTGTACAGGTGGTTTTCCATCGGGAGTGAGCAACCACTGCGCTTCCCAGAGCGATAACAGAACAATCTACAGAGGATGTAATTTACAGAGATGAAACCTAATTCCAGCATGCAATGGAATTTCCTGACGGAAAGCTGGAGCAGTCAAACTGTCCATACGCAGCACCCAGCCTTGCTCGGGCATCTCCGCAGCGCAGACTCACCCTTGCTGATTAGGTGACTACTAACAGCAGCTGGAGATGAACATTATCGAACTGCTCCCTACTATTCCGTATGTTCTTTACAAGTGAATCCAGAACCAATTTGCCCTACTTTCCGAGTTCCATGCCCACCACTCAATGCCAGTACTTCTATTAATTCGTTTGGAAGGAACTCGGGAGTGCACAGGCAATTGCAGGGCACCCTCCCGGCCACGTAGGCATCACCCCCCTCCCCAGCGAAACAGTCTGATCGTCAGAGAAATGACCAGTGGGCATGGAGGGGAGGCGGAGCAAGTTAAAAAGCTAAATAATTTTAATTCAGGTCTATCACTGAACTCCAATAAGCACATAAGCGCACTGCACGGTGCTGGGAGAGTGCCAACACACTTGTATGGTGCTTCTGGGTAGGAAGAACGGCCACTTCAACCGTTTATCGTACCAAAAACGTTTAAGATAGTTTAACTCCAATCATCCACGAGTAGCCCTTCGACAGTTCTCCTGTTTTACTACACACAGGATTAAGTGCTTTCTTCCCAGTTAATCTATATTGTTTTAATACTATGAATCATGTGCCTGCATAAATTACATCTTTAAGCTCAGGTCAGACCCCAGGCAGCTGAACCACAGGAAGCACATGCAGGTGCATATCGAAATGTGCATTTTTCCCCTCACTTCACTGTGCCTCTTACCCCAATTCACACCTCACTCGGAGTAAGTACTTCAAAGCACTCTCATTGCTGAGCTGCACTCTCAGCAAGGATAAGAGTCTTGTTCCTGCCAGACAAGAATGCTCTAGAGCTCTTAGAGTGTGCAAGAGAGACCTCCAGAATCTTTCAAGTAAATCTTCAAGCAATATACTTCTGCTTGCGTGTCAGTTACCAGTTGCAAAAACATATTTAGGATTCTCTAAAACCTACCAAACCTTTTTCCCCTGCTATTTTCCCCAATGTATTCTGAGGATTAATAGAAGTCCAGTAAAATGTGATGCATTAAATGCCAGACTTACCTATGTGAGGCTGATGGGCAGCTGCCAACGCGTACTGCTGCTGTTGCGCTGCTGTCAGCTGTTGAACAGCGAGTGCATTCGGTCTTTGGAACAACTGAAGGGACAAAAGCACAAATACAGTCCTTTAACTCATATACAAAAAGCATCCTCTTCCTTCCTTTAAAGCAATTCCTTTACACTAGATTTATTTTCACATACGACACACCTTTCCAGGGACACATTTCAAAAGGAATCGAAAAAACCCTATTTATTTTCACATACTGACACACCTTTTTAAAGGGAAACATTTCAAAAGGAATTGAAAAAAATCAAACCCCTTTGAAATCAATTGCCCATGCTAATTCACCTGAAAAAACCCACCATATTCCTGAGGCACAGCGAAACAGCAGCCAGGGTTTGCTCTGCTATTCTCTGCACAACGCCTGAAAGCCGTTTTTCCCCCAGCTCCTCCTCAAACCACAGCCCCTAACCGTAGCCTGTGGACCACGAGTAGCCCCCACGAGCACCTCCAGGTCTTGACCACCCCCAAGCAGAGCGGCATTACTGCTACACCCGTGGGCAACCCACGCGACTGTCCCGGATCGTCCGGGCTGCCGAGCGAGGCGTCGGGGAGGTGATGCTCTTGAGATGGCTTCAGCGCTGGCTGAAGTGCCCTCAGATGGGGTGCCAGTCTCGGGAGCTCACGAAAATGCTTCTTTTACCTGCTAGACTTCCGTCTCCAGCATCTCCTACACAAATCCAGGCAAGGGGTGTAAATTCTTCTTTGACCACAGACAGAAACCAGAAAGTCCCTGGTCTGGTTAAGTCATGCAAAGCGTATACAAATTTGTCAGCTGACAGCTCACTACAGTCTTGGGGAGCAATGGGCAGTGCTACTGAGAACAGTCATTCTCAACTGAGAACAGTCATTCACTTATTGAGAACAGTCATTCTCAATAAGAAAAAAAAAAAAGAGGATTACATTAGTCTTTAAAGTATTTTTGCTTTGGGTTTTTTTTTTTGTTTTCTCTCCATTCATCCAGGTCCTTACTAAATACTTCCTTCCCGAGCTTCCTACAAAACACTCCCTGAATAAATCCACTCGCAGAACGTTGCTCAGCTCTAATTAAAACACTGAAGAATACACAAGCTGGACAGCCCCTCTGAAACTATCCAGAAGCAACCTTCATCCCCAGGCACTCCCAAAAGCGACCATTTCTGAGATGCGAACGACTTCACAAACCGCTGTGATAAATGTTTTCTCTCTCCACTCACTTGGAACAAAACAGGCCTACCTGCTATGCAATTTTCACACCTATTATCTGTGCCCTTCTTTCAGACAAAACAAGTGAGCTACTTCAGCTGTCAGAAGCAGCAATAATAATTCTGCTCAAATTTTCGGCAGAAACTTGCAACCATCAAGAAGCAGCACGGAATCATTTAGAAAATTAGGGGGGTTTTACAGGCAAAAATTGGAGTCGGTTCTCCTGAGAACAGGATGAGCAACTGTGCCGCTTAGGCAGAAAAGATGAAAAAAGATGAGTGATAGTCTACCCCTATTTTCTTCTCCTTTTACACGTTCAGAAGGAGGAAAAAAACATGTAAAGGATCAGATTTAAGATGTGGAAACTCAGTACTTAGGGAATCCAGAGCTGATCTTCTGTTTGCCAAAAAACTAGCCACAACCTTCTTCCCCAAAGACTGCTCCCCCCTTAAGATCCTGGGGCCCCTCCATCTATCCAAGGAGTATCGTAATGCTGCTTATGGAGAAACTTCTCAAACCCACAGTCACTTTATTACCTCAGGAGGGCCATAAAACACTCCTAGCAGTCTTTACGCAGAACACACCATCTATTTTTTTCCTTTCTTCTTTTTTTAAAGATGTCGTTCAGTAATACTTCATGCTTACACAACGCTGAGTGCTTATGAGGGGTGTAATCTTCGTTAATAGACCATCTGTCATTAACAGCTGGATCCAACGCACTACTGACATCCTGTAGTTCAAAAAAGTACGGATATCCTGGATAACATGACCTACAGAAAATGGAATGAGGGATGCTGGCCCTGTGGGAGTCTCCAGCAACATCTCATCCACCGAACAGCATCAGCAGATATGGAAAAAAACCAATATATATCTCAAAAGTGTCTCACCACTGGGCACAGATACATCTAGAACAGCCACCCCTGGTTTTACAGTCTACTTTTGCATTGCATTCAGCAATCCAATATTTTAGCTTTCTTCAGCTGCAAATACTTCACAAAACCATGAATTTTCATGTTATTTTGCATCCCTGGGATGTGTTTCCAGTCTGCTAATGTGTGTTCCACCGAGGTGAAGAGCAGAGGAAATGGCTAGATTATTAGTTGCCTGTCTTCAGGGCAAAAAAGAGCACTTATCTTCTCCGAAAATACTGTTTCTTTCGCTCAGTTTACACGTGTGATGACTTCCACACCTCCCAAATGCATCTCAAGGATCCACTTTTATATCAGAAGCACTGGCAAAAAAAGCATACACAGCTACTCAAAGCACGAGTATTCCACCTGCTGCTGCTGTATTTGTTGTCTGCTTGCTCTCTCCCGCTCTTGTCAGTACAGCTGATGACTGCTAAATTTGACTTTCAGACGCCCAAGCACCCACACCAGCTTTGTGCATTTTTCTTTCCCTGAAATCAAGCCACAGGATCCACAACGCTCTGCAAATGGCTGCTGTCAGCAGCTGTTGGAGTTCACCTAAAGCCTCAAAGAGAGAGATTAAAAAGATGCCCCTTTCCCTAAAATTACCAGTGTAACAGAAGGGAAGAAAACGGAACAGAGTGGCTTGGCAGAGTCCTTTCATCTGCTTAAGAAAATGACCAACAGTATGTCTGCATCCGAAAGTGAAAGAAACCCAGACTCAGCTCCAACTTCATGATGCTTACTAAAAAACATGTAAAGGATCAGATTTAAGATGTGGAAACTCAGTACTTAGGGAATCCAGAGCTGATCTTCTGTTTGCCAAAAAACTAGCCACAACCTTCTTCCCCAAAGACTGCTCCCCCCTTAAGATCCTGGGGCCCCTCCATCTATCCAAGGAGTATCGTAATGCTGCTTATGGAGAAACTTCTCAAACCTACAGTCACTTTATTACCTCAGGAGGGCCATAAAACACTCCTAGCAGTCTTTACGCAGAACACACCATCTATTTTTTTCCTTTCTTCTTTTTTTAAAGATGTCGTTCAGTAATACTTCATGCTTACACAACGCTGAGTGCTTATGAGGGGTGTAATCTTCGTTAATAGACCATCTGTCATTAACAGCTGGATCCAACGCACTACTGACATCCTGTAGTTCAAAAAAGTACGGATATCCTGGATAACATGACCTACAGAAAATGGAATGAGGGATGCTGGCCCTGTGGGAGTCTCCAGCAACATCTCATCCACCGAACAGCATCAGCAGATATGGAAAAAAACCAATATATATCTCAAAAGTGTCTCACCACTGGGCACAGATACATCTAGAACAGCCACCCCTGGTTTTACAGTCTACTTTTGCATTGCATTCAGCAATCCAATATTTTAGCTTTCTTCAGCTGCAAATACTTCACAAAACCATGAATTTTCATGTTATTTTGCATCCCTGGGATGTGTTTCCAGTCTGCTAATGTGTGTTCCACCGAGGTGAAGAGCAGAGGAAATGGCTAGATTATTAGTTGCCTGTCTTCAGGGCAAAAAAGAGCACTTATCTTCTCCGAAAATACTGTTTCTTTCGCTCAGTTTACACGTGTGATGACTTCCACACCTCCCAAATGCATCTCAAGGATCCACTTTTATATCAGAAGCACTGGCAAAAAAAGCATACACAGCTACTCAAAGCACGAGTATTCCACCTGCTGCTGCTGTATTTGTTGTCTGCTTGCTCTCTCCCGCTCTTGTCAGTACAGCTGATGACTGCTAAATTTGACTTTCAGACGCCCAAGCACCCACACCAGCTTTGTGCATTTTTCTTTCCCTGAAATCAAGCCACAGGATCCACAACACTCTGCAAATGGCTGCTGTCAGCAGCTGTTGGAGTTCACCTAAAGCCTCAAAGAGAGAGATTAAAAAGATGCCCCTTTCCCTAAAATTACCAGTGTAACAGAAGGGAAGAAAACGGAACAGAGTGGCTTGGCAGAGTCCTTTCATCTGCTTAAGAAAATGACCAACAGTATGTCTGCATCCGAAAGTGAAAGAAACCCAGACTCAGCTCCAACTTCATGATGCTTACTTCCTCAGACCATGTTCTGCAGCTTCTTTACCACCACGTGCAAGCGTTCTGCCTCCACGTCTGCGTCGCGAGCGAGCGCTGGATTCCTTCCGACTGCCGCAGACCTCCAACCAAATCACTACACAGTTTCTCTTCTTCTTTACCACCACGTGCAAGCGTTCTGCCTCCACGTCTGCGTCGCGAGCGAGCGCTGCTTTCCTCCCCCCTGCCGCAGACCTCCAACCAAATCACTACAGCGTTTCTCTTCCACAGAAAGGTCAGATAAATATCGGTGTCCAAGCCATGCGCTTGGCAGTGACTCAACTCAGCAGCCTCTCCCTCTGCCTGCTTGAAATCGCAGTTTCTGCAAAGTCAGCCTCTGGGCTCGACCCACCCGGCAGAAACGCCGTGTGAACAGCTACAACAGAATCACAGAACGTCAGGGGCTGGCAGGGCCCTCTGTGGGTCCCCCAGCCCAACGTCACCCACCTTCTGCAGCCGCGGGTCTCACACTGCCTGCAGCGTGCACAGAGCAGCGGAGCCATTAAGAACGTTCACAATTGCAGGCTTTACTCGGCCAGGTAAGCCGCTGCTCCACGCAAGCTCTGGGAATCAGCAACTCTGCGGATTTAGGAAGAGTTACTAAAGCCTCAACGCACTGTCTCCATCTGCTGACAGCGAAGACCAATGTTCCAGAAAACAAAGAGCAAAAACTAAAAACTCCAGTAACAGCATTTTGTCACCTTACTTGGAACCCTACCGCATACAAAAATAAGGTTAAACTGTGTATCGGTATTAAAGTGTGGTCTCCAGCAAGCGGAAAACAGAAAAGCAACCTCTTCTAACAGGAGTATGAATTGGAAGTTACAAAGCGGGGCTGAAGGTGTAAGACCGCAGGCACCATTTCAGCCCATTCGACACCACACTTGGAGTGAAAACCCGCAAATGACCGACCTTTTTGGAGGAGTGCAGTCGGCTCACCCCACGTGTGAAAAAGCGAGGCTATTTTCCTGACACGTGTACACAAATGAAGTCTCATTTACAACCTGTGGGAGGGTTCACCGAGGGAATTCCAAGAAACCAGAACATCCCAGTCTGTATCACACAGTTACGGGAACACCGTAAGATTAAATTTCTGTAAACCAGTTTCTTCTGCAATGTAAACATCTGACATCTCTAATCAGATTACCAATGGTTAAGACCCTCCCTTCTTAATATTGCTTTTAGCTGTACTTGCTTGTAATCCCTTCAAAGCGTGTGACGCTTCCCAACGGACCGAGACTGACACTTTTACAGACAAGACCCTTTTGTTCAGGGCATATTTCCTTCTGACAACTGAATGGAAAGAACTCTACTGCCAAAAGACAGATTTCTTTCATACAGGCTGTAACTGGCAGACAGCGAATACCAAGAAACACCAGCTGCTGGGTATCTCCTATATATTAAGAGAACGGGTACAACTCTGAGCCCAGATACACTGCATTTACACACATATGCACCGAGAGGTCACATCTGGCAGAAGAGTGAATCCTGACCTTTCACACAGCACTTACACCTGCAAAAAGCCTATCATTTGCACTGACTGCAGGTGTGAGAACTGCATCCAGTTCTGGGCTGCCCAGCTCAGGAAAGACAAGGAGCTACTGGAGAGAGTCCAGCGGAGGGCTACGAGGATGAGGAGGGGACTGGAGCATCTCTCCTAGGAGGAGAGGCTGAGGGAGCTGGGCTTGTTCAGCCTGGAGAAGAGAAGGCTGCGAGGGGACCTTAGAAATGCCTCTAAATATCTGCAGGGTGGGGGTCAGGAGGACGGGGCCAGACTCTTTCCAGTGGTGCCCAGCGACAGGACAAGGGGCAACGGGCACAAACTGAAGCAGAGGAAGCTCCAGCTGAACCCAAGGAAGAACTTCTTCCCTCTGAGGGTGACGGAGCCCTGGCCCAGGCTGCCCAGGGAGGCTGTGGAGTCTCCTTCTCTGGAGATATTCCAGCCCCGCCTGGACGCGGTGCTGTGCAGCCTGCTCTGGGTGACCCTGCTTGGGCAGGGGGTTGGGCTAGAGGGCCCTGCCAACCCCTGCCATGCTGGGATTCTGTGAGCAGTTATTGCAACAAAGCTCAGACTTTAAAATAACGGTCCTTATGAAACAGCCTGGCTTGCTTCTTCGCAATGTGGCCTGGATGGGAGCGCAGCACGCCGGAGCGACCCGGTGGGCAGGCAGCCGTGCTCGGCGCCAGGACCTCCTGCTCCCCTCCAAAGCCCACGGGCCAAAGAGACCAGAGAGAACCGCAGCTTCACACGCAACCCAGCGGAAAGTTTAAAGCATGTTGACATGGAGACGACATCAGCTCTACCTGGATGTTACCCATCCACTCTGTATAAAGGAAAAAACCCAAACCCCAGGCCTGTCTACAGGGCCAGCCAGCGCCAGCAAGCCGCACTGAAATCACTTTGGAAATCGCCACACTGTCCAGGTCGGCCTTACTTCGAGAGTTTTTATTTCCACTAGCTAGGCGTAAAACGTGCCAAACTTTAAATCCTAATTTTTAAAGGCTAGAAGAAACAATTAGAAACTACTTCGACTTCTAAATCAACCTTAATTTAAATAAAATACACTAACAGACAAAACACAAATTGCTGGCTTCACATTTCTGCAGTTACTTTCCCATACCTAATGGCTCTTTAAAAGGAGATCACTTAGTTAGCTCTAACATACCACTTTAAAAAAACACACAAGTTTCATTGTTTAATTCTTGCATTCAAGCTCCTACACCACAGAGCAAGACCAAGACCTGAAACTAGCTTCCCCCCACTTGTTGAACTATACAGCAGCTATTTAGTTTAATAATTAAAAAAAAAATTCTTTTATTAACATCCTAAATGTGCTACACAATAAAACAACCAATTAAGCTATAACACAGGTATTTACACTGCTTTTAAGACCATAACTTGCTGACAGTGGGCCTTTAGCACAAACTTGGCAATGGTCCTTCCTCAGTACAGAGTGCCAACAGGCTGCTCTGCCAAAACAGATCAGATATTTCAGGAAACCCAGGGCCAGTTCTATACTCTCGCAATCAGCTAAAACAAAGGATTTTATTCTTCTTTGAGAGGTATCATAGCCACACAAAAGGAAGGCAATAAAAGTTTACAATCGTTACCCAAACTAGCAGGAACAGGAGCAGATTACGAGTTGATCGTTGGATCTAGGCCCAGCATTCAAGAGAAGCCAACAGCAGAGCAAGGACTCGCGTCACTTGCTCGGGAGGAGAAGCTTGGGCCGCTTGCGTGGGAGAAAAGGTCAAACAAACCCGCTGGGCTGAGATAAAAGTTTTGTAGTATTGGACTCTGACCTCAGGTTTGAAACCACGCTGAAGTAGGAGCCAGTTTAAACTGACGGTTCCTTCGGTGCTGCAGAGATCCCGCAGCGGGGCTGCAGCACCCAGGCTGAGGTCGTTTGACCTTTCAGGTACTTTAAGGGCTCGAGGGTGGGTTGTGGCTGGGGGTTTTATTTGGTTTAGCAGTTTTTACTGATCTAAAGCTCTTCTCCAATGCAACCTAACTGAAGCTAAAAATGATGAATACGCAGAACCGTGCTGTTGATAACTGCTGTTTATTACAGGCCCTTACGCCTGCTGATCAGACGGCCACGTTCAGTTGATCTCCTGCCTCGAGCTCCCTAGGAGGACACAGCAGCACTCTGCAGCTGGCACAGAGGCGATGAAACCATTCCAAGTCTTCCTCTGTCCCTCTCCCCAAGACAAGAACCTGAGCTCACGCTAACCCCACGACGACTCTCCTGGAGGAACTGGAGCCGCAGGCTAGGACCGAAGGGCGCCACCGCCCCGGCTGGGGCCCGCCGCCCGACACTGTACCTGCTGTTGGGAATTGTAATCGAAGAGCCCCACGGTGGCTGCGGCCGAGTCCACTGGCACTTGAGTGCCAGAATAATCGAACTGAAGAGGCTCCATGCCAACGTGCTCCATGGGATCCAGCGGGACACTCTGGGACTCGATGTTGGAGAAATCCTCCACCGGCTTGGCACCGTTACTACTCGCCAGCTGGGCTAAGCCCTCTGATCCATTCTGGTTTGGACCCAGAAGATCTACTTCACTAGCAGAGTTCTGGCAATTACCAGGTGTACGGCTACACAGAAAGAAAAGATACTCGTCACCAAGCATGTCCGTTTAATGCCACGTCACACAGCGTCGATTAACAGCAACAGACACTAGTACTCACCAGAACTGCTTGCAGATGTGATAAAGAGGAAATAAAAAAATAAAAGAAGGGACTGAAATAGTTCCCTAAATGCATTCTATAGAACTATTTACATATTTTTTAAAAAAACAAACAAAAGAAAAGAAACATAACCACACCCCAGTCTCCCTGCCTCCAAGACCTGTTACAGTACAGGTGTAAAACGCCTCAGTTTGTTTTCTCCTCCACTGAGGAGAGGGTCAGCCACAGCAAAAGAGGATTTCAGAAATGCTGAAGTTATTTTTCCATAAAGCTATTCAGTAATTTTTAACCATGTAATGCTGTGGCACTGTATCTCAGTTGAAACCTTTCTGAAGCAGCTGCCACGGTTTCCTAATTACCTAACACAAGCACCGGACTCAGGTGGGAAACGGCTCATCTCGGTGCCAGGGCCAGCCGTACACGCTGTGCCTCGCAGCGCGGTTGTTTTGCCTTTGCAGCTTTCCTACACGTCCACACGAGGCACGGCCAGCAGCCAGCAAGAAACGCAAATGCATTGATTAAACCCATAGCCACAATTTCAGAAGCGTTGAATCTCAAGAGCTACAAGGAACGAGTCCAAAGCCTCAGCTCTAACGCAGGCTGGTATATAAGTAGAGTCAACATCTTCATCAGGTATTTCCATAGGAATTCCACCCAGAGTAACTAAAAACAGGCGTGAAAACAAGACTGTAATAAACAGAACAAGTTCTGCACCAGAGGAGAGCGACCAGATGTGAGCCTCCACCTTCCCACAGTGCTACCCTGTGTACGTTGTAACACCCTTATGACACCGTTTCAATGAGTCAAAGGCTTTTTCACTACAGCACAGAAAATCTTTTAAAAGATGTTGTGTGACACTAATTAACTATTAACCAATGGAGCACGTACCTGAAGTCTTTGACATCCGCGTCGATCCCATTCTGCACAGGCAAACCATTTGTTTTATCCATCACATCCCCCTCCTCCTTCAGATCTCCTAATTTATCGCCATCAAATGTGCCCTTATTTTTCTTATCCCCTTTGTCATTCTCATCATTCTCTGCATCCCTTGGCCCCTAGGCAAAAGAGACATTATTTTAATAAGCTTAGTTTTCAGATCAATTTTACTTATATTCCGAGATGGTAACAAATAAAAGAAACATGTCACAATAAAGGAAGTCACTTGCAAACATTAGTTCTTCCAAATAAAAATGTAAAAAAGCAAAATAGTCAACCATAATTGAAGAAATAAGGGAAATAGTTCTCGCTCTTCCAAGAGAGGTTTTAGCTGTCTACTCAGTTTCTTCCATTCAGTAACTCAGAGGCTGCTTCTATATGCTCTAAAAATCCCACCCCAAAAGAATTTTAAAGAGTATTTATCCAAATCCTCTTTCTAGATGGGACTTGGGCACTTCAGAATGAACTCAGCAACTTTTCCATACAACGGTATGTACGGAAAGAGCGCGCCCTGCACCCGTGCGTCTGCGAAAGCCGCTGCCTGGGGGTCACAGCTGCGGCACCCGGCTGGCCAGGCGCGTGTGGGAGCCCCGCTTTTGGGGAGGGCACTGCTGTGGGTGCAGAGCGAACCCCAAGCTGCGGCTCATTTAAGAGCACTCGCTCAGTCAGTAGCTCATTGGTTCATATGAGCCTAAAGCACAATTTCTGGGGAAAAAAGGAAGTGGAGGGAAAAAAAGAGAAAAAAAAAAAGGATTTTTGTTTTGTTGAGCATTTTATGAGTGGTATTACATCTGCAGCATTCCCTGCCCTTCATGTCTGCATTTTATTTCACTTGGGAGAAGAATAAAGGGTGATTATGCCAGAGGCAGAGTTTTGAACAACAAAAGGGAGAGGAAAAACAACATAATTTATGATAAAAAACAGCAAGGGGCATACAAACATATTTATCAGAGACAGCTTTGGTGCTGTCACAAAGACAGACATTCAAACCCTGTCTTCCACTTCATCTGAGGGAAAAGTTCTCCGCAGATAACAGGGCTTTTGAACCCTGTATCAACTACGTTTTTCCATTCTCTCTGTTTGCAGGGGAGGGATTTCCCCCCCCATATTCAGAAAAAAAAAAAAAAAAGATTGTTTTAAAAGCATTCATCTTCTGATGCTTCTTCTTAAATAAAACAAAATTGTGCTTCCTTAATATTAGAGAGCAGGCATGGAAATGCCAATTATAAATACAAAGTTGGAGCCCAGTTCTCACCCCCCCACTGCGATATTCACCAGTGAGACCCTGCGCTGCGGAACTGACAGCCTGACCACCGGCACTGCGGAGCAGACACCTCTCTGACCCCCAGCTCGGATGACAAATTGGCTCCTTCCACTGACTGTTCATTTTTCAGAAATCATCTTTCTTAGGCTCAGGGTTCAACAAGGTTATCAGGTGCCCACTAATGAGGGACAAAAATAAGAGGATGGATGAAGGAAACCACAAATCGGCTCCCTGAAGAGATGAGCACAGCAGTCTAGCAGTAACAAACCTACTCGCTTTTATGTTTTTTGACAATTCCTGACCTAGCACTTGGCCGACGAGGTAGAGCTGAGGTGCAGCCCCTTTTTCCTCACTACAGGGATGGGGCTTGATTATGCCTCTCACCGCATCCTTAGATTCGAGGCAGCAGCAACTGCGCTGCCTTCCCCGCCCCATGAAGCGCAGTGACTAATGCCATTTCTCCGTAGGAAACGATGTGCCCTTGAAAGCGTTCCCCAGCTGGAGTGGCTTTTGTAACTACGTTACGTTTCTAGCGTCATTACATGGAGCTTTTTGTTCTTAGCCAGCAACAAAGCAGCCACACGCTCATTCAGAAACCACAGGTATATCAGCATACTGACCCAACGACCAGCTTAGCGGGGGTGTTCCTGCCGGTGTGCTTACCCGCTGACCCAGGGAACGTCAGCAACCTCCACGTCCTTTGCCCCCATCTCCCACACTCCACCCCCTAAGCCAAGAGTTAAACTGCTAGCCTGCCTGTTCTGAGAAAGATAGCTAACCTAAGAGCAAGTAAAAGAAAGAAGAAACCTCTGCCTTTAGGAATGGATTAACAAACAAACAAACCAAGCAGCAAATGGAGAAAATAACATAATGGGAACTCAAATGTCAGAATCGGGCACACTTACAAATCCTCCTTTCCTTAGGCAGGAATCTCCAGGAGATGAGCTCAACACATACTCCACCATGCTAACTCCAAGTCCTCCACTCTCTGACCGTGGTGAAAGTACTGAGTTGACTTCACTATTCACATGAAACCCCTGACCAGGTCTTCTCTGAACCATAATTGGTTGGGAAACAGAGTGATCTGGAACAAAAACATGTGTAATTCTTGTAAGCAGATTCAACTATTCAAAGTAGGCAAGTCATTAAATACGTACTCTCTAGGGTCTTAATTGTACTAAGAAGTGTCAACTTTTTGACTTGGATAAAGTCCATTAGAAAAAGCAGGACGGCTTTCTCATTTTCACACTAGTAGAACCTGTAAACCTCCAAGCAATAACTACTTTTAAAGTCTAAAAGCCGTAAAATTCCAGAAATTTAAGTGTCTAAGTAAAAGTTGCAATTAAAAACCCCAAAGTTCTAGTTTTTTAGTTTCAGTAAAACTCTTGCATTAGTACAGTGAAAAAACAATCAGTCTTGGTTTGTCATTTAAAACATCATCCTACCGTTCCACCACCCTACATTTGTTTTCTTGGTCATATGAACTGCTATACCCATGTCATGATCAGAGTTTCTCTTAGCTGCTATTTTCTCAAAAAAAAGTTTATGAGAACTTTGTTTCTTCTTCCTCATCCCTGACCTCCTGCTTCAGCTTTACCATCCCCGCAGCCTGAGGGCTTGAGATCCAACCAGAACAGACTACGGACAGATGGCTCCAAGTCCTTAGGAGCTCTGCAGAAATTGCTGGCTGGGCAGCAGAAAGTGCCCCTACATCCCAGCGAGGGAAGGGAAGAAGGTCTCTGCTCCTGCCTGCTCAGACTGGCGACAGCCAGTCAAAGCTACCAGGCAGCAGATACGGTCGTTGCCAGGGGATGGTGGAAGCGACACGCAATGATATCGATACCGTGGCTTCCTCCCGCAGCAGGCACAAGCTGCCAAGAGAAGTAACTCTATTCTGTCATTGCTCCTGGCTATGCCTTCCTGCCTTCTCCCTCAAGCCAGCACAAGAATCTATGGGGCCATGAACTGGACTGGGGAGACTTTTTGGGGATAAAGCTAACAACGAAAAGAAAAAAAGCTAGTTTTAATCCAGATCGATTCCCCAGCAGCACTGCACTGCTGCATAACTACTTATGCATAACTATATCCCCAGGAGGGGAAGAAAGCAGTGGCCTGCATCAGCCAGGACTGCTACTTTTGGTGGTATTGCCTTTAAATGCTTTAAAACTACACCTCCAAGGTAGAGCAGTGAAGAGCCAAAGCCATATGGGAGGACTGCAGTGCACACTGTGGACACAGATGGAAAGGAAAATGGTTGAAGCGAAGGGCATTGTCCAGAAAGCCAGGCTTCATTAGTTCCACTGCTCATGGAACAAACCAGTCCTCTGGCCAAGGACACTTCCACACCCCACCTCCAAGCTGTGCTCCTTGCTCTGGGGCAGTGGCCTTCAGCAACTGCTCAGACCATGGCTCTTCTCTTCATTTTAGATGAGCAAAAAGGGCACCTATGACTTCCCTGACTCACTGACACCAGCGCAGGCCACGGCTCAGGAATACAGGCTGCAAGGTGCACAGGATTAATTGAGAATAAACAAAGGAAGAGATGAGACGAAGGGCTTTGACTCATGGGGATTTGTGATCAACCAGCGTAGGAGGTGACCTCCCCCAGATGGCTGCCCTGGCCTGTCTGGTGGATGCAACCAGCCCAACAGCAGAGGCACCACAGGAGAAAGTCTCCTTCTGCGCTGTTGCTGTTCAGAGCCTGGCTCAGCCCTTTAATCCACCCTCGGCCTCAGTTTATGTTAATGCAGCCAGACACAAACCGGTGTTGACGCCTGGACGCAGGCGCCGCTGCGGAGCTCCACCGCGGACAGGCAAGCCAGACAGCTGGAGGCAGCAGCTCCCCAAAATCTCCCCAGCACCCTGCCAGGCTGCGAGGTTCAGCCGATCAGATTTTGAGAAGCTTTATCCCCTTTTCACCGCCATTTTGAAATTTCAATAATAAAAAATGCCCTTAGCACTATCCCAACACCTTCAATCTAATAATGGACATTTTCAGGAAGGGAAGAAAAAACCCCACATGAGAGTGAAGTTCCTCTACATCGCATCTCCCCTGGAGCTGTAGCTCTGCGCAGTTGTTTGGAAACTGCACGAGATACTCAGCAGTGTTTAAGGAGCATATTCATTACATATAGAAAGCACAGAAAATAAAAAGTAAAAGGTTAGCATTTCAAATTCAGCACATGCACGTGGTTTTTTTTTGTGATTTAACTAAAACCAACCTGAACACTCTCCCCATAATTTTAAAATAAGGGACAGTCTCTGATCCAAGAACAAAATTCTTGGCAGATAAACTTCAACACTACTAATTCAAAACATCACTTTTTTCTTCTTTTTTTTTACATTGAATGTTGTTGGTTTTTGGTCGTTTGGTTTAGTATTTAAAAAATTGTGGGGCTGTTTTTGTCTTTTACGAACCTTGTTCTTTTTGTCCAAACTTGAAGTAACCCATCCCACGGCAGGAAATACATCAGAAAGTTTAAACTGAAATTTTAATGGCAATCTAAAATTTTTAGACAGATAAACATAAGGGTACACATGTTCACATTAGACAATCTTTTTATAACTATGGATATCTTTTAATGCTATCACAAAGCAGTGTGGGTTTTTCTGTGAGTTTTCTATTATGTAAAACAGATGTTTTTAAAAATTTTTTAAAAGCTGTGTCATCCAGACTGGCCAGCAATTTTAAGTAGATGAGTTGCACATTTCTGTATTCAACCCCAACTAAATTAAGTAAATAATTGAGCTACCTGATGTTCCCCAAGCACTGTCTCTCCACTGATCTCCCAGAAATATCCCTTTTGGTCCATCTTTGCTGGAATCATCAGATTCCCAAAACTTTTTACCCGGCAACAGCTGCTGCAATTAAAAAAAAAAAACAAAAAACAAAAAACAAAGCATGATTAAAATAAGTATAAAATGCAAACATAAACCATAAGCGTCTCCCTTCTGAACATGAATCAATCATTAAACACAAACCGATACATGCTTTATAATCAAAATATTTATACACTCCTAGGGTGAAAGCCATACAGCCACTGAGATAATGACTCAGTCTCAGCAATCCTCTTACATTCTTAAACGCTTTACGAACCCCACACACGTAAGCACACGCATACAATTTCCATTCTCCAGCCTCTCCGCATGAGAGCTACTCGCAAGAAAAATATCAGAAGGAAAAACTGTGCCGATCAGAACGTCCTTTTTCCACTGTGAGGAGACCCCCAAAACTGCCCAGCGTTTCCAGCACAAAACCTTGCCCTCAGATACCGCGGTTCTGACGCCGGCAGGGACAGCAGAGCTCGAGAGGTGCCAAGAGCTCTCATTTCTCACTTCTTTAATGACTGCTGAGGACTCTCCATGCTATGAAGGTTATTTGTAAACACTAATAAGAGTGAACAGTTCTGGGCCACCGCCCCGGCCACGCATGCATTGCTCCTACTGGATGACAAGCAAAGGTTCTGCACTTATGGAGAGCGAGACAGAAAGACATCCTTGGCTTGAACGAACCCAAGGAAGCTTGTTCTGAAGTTCGTAAGATGGCAGTAGGAACACTGTGCCCTGTTCAGCAGCCGTAGTTTGAAAATACCAGCTTCACCGCGGAACCACCTGCCGTGCGGCACCTACACACGGCAAGGGGAATTTCCAGCCCTGCGTAAGCGTCTGAGATGTCATGCACACAATCTTCAAATTAAACCTTCTGGCTGAATGAGATGTATGCAATTCAGACAGGAAACAACAGTACCTTCGTAGCAAATTAACAAAATAAATGAGCCTTGCCTGCTGAAGTTGGAATAAACCTAAAGGAACTGAGAGATTAACAAGTGCTTGCATCTGTTGGAAATTCCCACAGAACAAACAAGAATCATCAGACCAGTAGATGCCTTCTGCATGTGAGCAGGGCTGATCACTCTACACTCCAGCAGCAGACGGGCAAATTTAAGGCTACGGCGTAACAGAGTAAATCTGCTGCTGTATGAAGATGAAGCACAGATTATTTACGCGCTCCCAGCTTGCAGAGTACTCTGGTTTGAGACAGACGATCAGAAAAGTTGTGCTCACTGTTTACTTTTTAACTTCAGGAAGATCTGTTTACTCAGAAATGTCTCGCAAAGCAGGTCTGTAGGTACAAGATGGCTCAGATTTGGATAACTGGACAGATTACACAGAGGACAGGCAGTATAATGAAAGCAACACCAAATTCACCCCGCACCTGAAAAGCAGAATTCCTTCCAAACTCTTTAACCAAAAAAAAACAAAAACCAAACCCCACCACAGACAAGAGAGCAATTACATTTAGCTACTTAACTAACACAATTGCTCTTGACTAAAAGTAACCCTGCTTTTGCGCCGATCAGTAGAGAATAAGATCAACCCACCACTTAAACACGGCAGTCAGTTACAAGGGAAAATAAATAAATAAATGCAATCCCTTTGGGAAAAAAGCTTGTACAGGCACAAGATGGAGGGCGGGCACAGCGTCGGAGCGGAGGCACCGCTGCTTCAGGGGCTCCCCGTCAAGCCTCAAGCTGCACACAGACGCGCAGTTTTACAGTCGGACCTGATGATCTCGGAGGTCTCTTCCAACCTTAGTGATCCTACGATGATTCCACAGCAGCAGAAACACGCTCCCAGTGCCTCGGCTCACGGCGGCTGCTGCCAACCGCCAGCCCTGAGCAAGAGCTGGCGCGGGGGCACTTGCTAGCTGAAGTGCAACCTCTCTGCACACACCTGGGTGTTGTCTGTACAAGCACACAGGAACGGAAAACAAAGCAATCCTCACCCACCGGGGTCGAATCAACATCTCAGACTAACACAGAACAGGTCAAATTTGAGGACGACATGTGTCAGTAACGCTCCTCTTGTGCCAGGCACGCCAGGAGCTCCAGCACGAGGTCACCACTTCTGAACCAGCCGAGATCCTCCCACAAGGCCGGAGACACCACGCACACGTGTCTGGGTGTGCTGTCTGCTGCCACAGCGCTCAGCAGAACTTATTTACGGGTGAATGTTGCTCAATTCAATCACAGTTTTTCTTTCACTGAAAGCATACACGTGTGTAACTTACTCCTCCCTAACCTCCTCCTCCAACTCGCAGTAGGCTTCCTCCTACTGATTCAAAAGCAAAAATCTCCAGATTGGTTTTCAAGTTCAGGATGAGGCGAGCTCGTTTGCCTTCTACGCCTGAGCACAACGCAGTGTACCCCCAAGGCTGGAGCACACCAACCCCACCCGGACACAGGGGCTCCGGCACCCGGGCTGTCCCCGGAGCAGGTGACAGAGCTGCACAGACAGCGTCAGGGACACGCAGGACTTGCCCCCACCCGGCTCTGCAGCACTCGGTATGGAGCCAGCGTCTAGAATCCCAGAATGGCTTGGGTTGGAAGGCTCCTTCACAGCTCATCTAACCCCCCCGCTGCCATGAGCACGGGCATCTTTTCAGCATCCTTCAGGCTGCTCCAAGCCCCGTCCAGCCTGGCCTTGAACCCTTCCAGGGAGGGGACACCCACGGCTTCTCTGGGCAACCTGTGCCAGGGCCTCACCACCCTCACTGTAAAGGAATTCTTCCTTGTGTCCAAGCAGTCTCTCCTTCCTCTCCCTACAGCAAAATATTTGTTCATAACACTGGCTTTGAGTATCAGAACTTTTCAGTACAGAAACAGCAGACTTTTGCTGTCCTCAGTTCTCCAATATTTGGCACACCATCCACGCCCACAAACTCCGTGTCTTGCACACAGTCTGTCCAAACAAGACCACTGAATTGCCTGTTCTCTCTACGAGGTACCCCACTCTAGTTTCAACCTTTTTCAGCAGAAAGTCATTTCCACCCAACCTCTCAACAAGGTTAAAATTTGAGGAAAGCATTTTAATCGAAGTGCTAAGCTACCTCTGGGTTTTAATCGGCTTCTTCCTACTGAGAGGACAAGACTGAACTTGTCCTTTTAACTCTCAAACCACTGAGCAGAAAGCCCAGTGTTTTCCCCAGCTGCTCCTTCTTTGCCCCCAGCAGCAGAAACACCACGAGATACCGGCACGTCACACACTTTAGAAATGTGTCGGTGACTTGAGGATTTCTCACTGCATCGGAAACGCAGCGCAGGACTGCTCGTGATTCTCTCAACTGAACGACAAAAGCAGGGAAACTTGCACCACGCTCTGCTTTTGTGTAATCCAAAAATAACCCCAGGCAGCTGTGAGGACAAGCGACTGCCACAGACTAACCTGTCCCTCCATCTGCACCGTGGGTGATGTTAAGGGGGTGAAAGCCAAGGCAGTGCTCTCTGTTATTTATAAACATAAACACATATCAGGTGGGTTACATTTTTTTTTAAGCTTCTGTCATCCCCATATTTCTCAAAATGCAGCTTTTTCACTCCTGCTGCTGCCAGCCCAGCAAAAATAACTACTCTCCTCCTCATTCCATTTTAAAGAATTTTGAAGGAGAAAGCGATATGGACCAATTAAACAAACTTTTAGCTGCAACTAAACACTCCTTACTTCCTTTGACAATGTAAGGACACAATCTGTTCCGCAGCCATACCTCAAAAAGGATGCAAAGGGGCACAGGCTGGCAGAAAGGAGACAGGAAAGAATGTGCAGCATGGAATATTTTCTTTTCAAGAATGAGTAATCTCTAGTTTACAAGAAAATTAAACTCCTCTCATAAGCTCCTGAGTTTCCAAAATGTTAATAAGTTTTCCTGATATACACAAGAAAGCAATGGTGAATTCTAAACTTAGGAAATTTATTTCTGCTTTAAGGTGAAAGGCAAAATGGGACTTCAGCAAAAAATCAAGTATTATGCAAACCTAAGAGGAAATCTGTGTCTGTAAACCAGCACAGAAAAGCGCAACAGGGAGCCCAGCAACTGCCTGGCAAGGGCAGCCACAGCAACAGGTAATCCCAACACTTTCAAAGCAATCCCAAAATCCAAAGCAAACACGCACAAAGGTTCGGTGGTTGCTCCTCCCGAGGAAGTCCGCTGCAGGTAACTCAGCTCAGCCTCCCTCCTTGGCGTTAACACTCCGAGGTACTCGCTTTCTCACGGGATGTGAACAGTGGCAACTAAATGAGGTTTCTCCTTTCTATCGTCTTAAAATTTGCGACACCTTTCCAAATCAGCCGCTCCAGCAGAGTTCAGCAGAGCAAGGCCAAGCTCCGACAGCACTCGGTGCCTTCAGCGGCGACCCCCGGCGCAGGTATTTTCCCCGGGGGGGCCCCCTCAAAGCCCTCTGCAGAAGGAGCCATCTCTTGCCGGTCCATGCTGCACACTGGCCAGAGCCCTCGCAAACGCGGCTGCTGAGGGGGCTGCAGGAGCTCAGGGGAGCTGCCAGAACAAGAACACCTCACACCAGCATCGCCAACACAGGCGTGCCGCGGCTCACAAAACACTGCCACATCTCAATTCTAACAAAATTACACGCTGAAGATGTGGAAAGGGACATCCACAGACGCAAGGCAGTGGGCCCGGGCACGCTGCATATACAGCTGCACAAACCAGGAGTCCGCTCCTAACTGAAAAATAATGAAAATGAACACTGCATATGAATACGCGCTGGTAAACAACAGCAACAAGCTGCGTTATGCAGCGGAATATACAGAGCAAGCTTTTCTTTGTATTCTGGTTGCTCATTTCAAGGCATTTTTCAATTTTCCTGACCATACAAACTGATTCGCCACCACAAAAAGGCAGCAAGCCCAGGCTCACTCAGCCCTTTGCTGTTTCCCCTACCCCCTTCTCAAGGGCCAAACGCAGCCGCTCACCGAGCTCCTGCAGACCTGCACCCAAACACCTTCCTGTGGTCTTCCAGTGAATCACAGACAAGGAGCAGAAAAAACTCTAATGCTCACTATCTCGT